GAAGTATTGTTTATTGATGCATATTACTTAAAATTTAAGATTACAAATAAATTATGCATAAGTACAACTTATTAAAGCTCCATATTTGAATTCGTCTAACTAATTGCAGATAAACATAATCAAATATTGGATAAATATCTCATTTTAAATATAAAAAATCTAAAATATAATTATGGTAATCATTGATAACTAACATAATTTAATTAAGAAAATTACACCAAAACACAAAAACTTTTAAAAAGATTAATTTAATACTAATATCGATATTTTTTTTCAAAATTTTATGATATTTTTAAATTTATATTTTATTCAAAAATAAAAATATTACCACTTTCTCAAAACCATATAAAACGAATGTTTACTTAAAATTCAAGATTACAAGTAAATATTGCAAAAGTACAACTTATCAAAGCTCGATTTATGAATTTGTATAACTAATTGTGGATAAATATAATCAAATAGAGGATAAACATCTTATTTTAAAATATAAAAAATTTAAAATATAATTAGTATAATTATCGAGTTCTAATAAAATAATTAATTATTATCTTTATAAGAAAACTATATTATTAAACCAAATATAAATTACTTCGTTATTGTACCTAAATTAAATTATAATAAAAAATTGAATTAAAAAATTACACAAAAAATGAGGAAATTTAAATAGTTAATTTGATACAAATATCAATATATTTTTGTTATGCATAAAGTACTATATATTGATGCATATTACTTAAAATTCAARATTACAAGTAATTATGCATAAGTACAACTTATTAAAGTTCGATGTTTGAATTCGTATAAAAAACTGCGTATAAACATAATCAAATAGATGATGAACATCTCATTTTAATTTAATATTTAGATATTTTACATGTTATTTTTAATTTTAATATTTAGATATTTTACATGTTATTTAATAAATGTATTAAAAAATTTTCTAAATTATTCATTAATATACCAATATCAATAAAACTAGTAAAACACAACTTATCTCGCTAACATTTTTTTAAAAAAATACGTGTTTTTTTTAAAAGGAAAAATAAAAATTGTTCTTTTTTTATCAAAAAATATTATCTTTTAAAGAATATATATTATATTTGTTCAAAAACTGACGAATAAATATATTATATTAATTAGACTTTTTTAAATTATTTATTAATATAATAATATTAAAAAATTATAGATAACAATTTATTTCGTTAATATTTTAAATAGAACTTTAAAAGATATGTATTTATTTGAATAACATAAAATAGGAAAAGTTACCTTCTTTTACAAACAAAATATATCTCGAAAATAATGTTTTATATTTATTTAATAAATATTTTACTCTAAGAATATTTAATCTGAATGCAACTTAATAAGAAAAAGTTAAAAAAATTAAATGTTTTTTTAGATAATAGCAATGAAAAATGAAAATAATAATTTGAAATAGGTTTTTATTTTAATTTTAGTTAAGTCATCAAAATGATGTGGCATCCACATCAACTTATTAAAGCCACACAAGCAAAATGTCAAAGGGTTAACCGGCTTAAAAGGTAACAGGTTACCCGTTGCTATTATGGTTAGATTTTTTAAAGTACAATGTCTTACCTAAAAAATAATTTGAAAATACATTGTTGTAATAAAGAAAAACAAAAGTAAAATGCTATAATAAGAAATTTTATGAAAGTAGGTTGCTATTTCATGCATTTAACCCTAATAATAATATTAAATAATTGATATGAATAATAATTATCGTAACTAATTAGTAAATAATATTAATGTATAATATATAATTAATAAATTAATGTTTGAATCGACTTGTTCGAAAGCTCGATTAAACTTTACGAGTTAAGCCAAACCATTCGAATGTACACTCTTTGAGCTAAACATATTTTCTATAAATTATATAATCAAAATATAAAAAAACATCGAACTTGACCAAACAATGAGTTAATCAATTTCGAGTTCGTAAACAAACATCGAGCTTAACATTCAACCTTGAGACTAACATTACTTTTTCCGACATAACTCATTATTCGATTCGACCCGACTTATTTACACTCCTAAAACATATGTTCACGTATTCAAAAAATTTGTGTAATAGTTACTAAACACAATTTATCATCATATATATATATATATAGAGAGAGAGAGAAAAATGAGTTATTATACAATCATTTACATTTGTATAATCAATATAACTCAATCTAAACCGTCTATTTAATTTGATGAATATATGATTTCATAAAAGTTTTAATTGTTTCCTAATATAAAATATTGATCATAATTAATGAACTCTAGTCATTTTCCATAACTATTCAAATCATAATAAATGAACTCCCATCATTTTCATAAATATCTCAACTGATTTGAGTTATATATAGGATATATTTCAAATGCAACCATGTCCATTTATACAGCCAATGTAACCCAATCTATTGAGATTTTTATGAAAATGATAGAAGTTCATTTATTATGATTTGAATATTTATGAAAAATGATTAAAGTTCATTAATTATGATCAATATTTTATATTAGAAAACAATTAAAACTTTTATAAAATCACATATTCATCAAATTAAATAGACGGTTAAGATTGAGTTATATTGATTGTACAAATGTAAAGAGTTAGTATAATAACTCACTTCTCTCCTTATATATATGTATATAAAAGAGAGTCGGTTTCATTCGATAAAATGACACAAGTACCCCTCAATATGTAAATCCCAAATTAAAATATGATTATCTAGTCTAACAGGGGACATCAGCCCAACAAGCAAAGTTGACCAATTTGAACCCAATCCGAGCAGTAGCAGAGACCACAAACAAACCCGTTTCAATTTGGAGAACCAACAGAATTAAATTTTAAATATAGAACAATAGCAAACAAAAAAAAAGGTTTAAATTCATTTTTGCTATCAAGATTATATACTCAGCTGAGCTGACGACGATTTTGACATTTATGTGTGCTTCACCATCCACTCATCCCATGAGGTAGTCGTCAAAATTTATGTCCTAAAACCTGCCCCACATCACATAAATCTTCATTAACATCCACCACCATCTCACCCCCATTTAGGGGTTTGTTTGTTTACCTCTTAATTATTCCATTAAAATGCAATCTTTGAATTTTTAAGAGGTAATATTGTTTAACAAAAAAAAATTACCTCTTAATGGTCCCTCTGAATGATTTTGTATCCTAGATCTCCCTTAACCATTAAGAGCCCTAATTCCATTGTACACAATTACCAAACAATTATATTTCATTTTGCACTATATCATGAGAGCCTCTTAATCATTCTGTACCAAATCATTCAGCAATTACCAAACTAAATTATAATAAAATTTGGTCGTTTAGTTAATTAAAAAAGTTACTAAATTACATACTTTTAAAACTGTGTTGTCTTAATTAAATAAAAATCTCACGTCCCCTTTTTCCCACCAATCACATGAAGACACATCATTATTTTATTTATGTTTTGATTCTCTATCTGATAACGTGCAGTGGGTGTTCTTATGTTTTATTTTGAGATGGTAGGAGTAATAAACGAACTTTTGTATATACCGATACAAAAAGATCAGATCGGTACCTATAAGATCGAACGAGAAGCTCACTCCTTGCCCGATCTCCCCCAGAGAAATCCGTTTTTCCAGGAAGATTTAGATTCCGACAAGGATCGGCTACGCTTGGAGCCAAACAAGAAGTGTTTCCGTAAGAATGGCTTTCCTATAGAGCTTTTCATGCTGGAACTAGAGCTCATTTGAGGACCTTGAAATACAATGGAATCACCATCCATCCCTCGACGCCTTAATTTCTTCGTGATCTTAGCTTTCAACTCCATATCCGCTCTCAATGCTTTTTCCGACAACTTGAGAGTCTGTATTTCACCAAAATTACAAACCGGGCATGCAGGATCATACTTATTGGTTCCAGTCGTCATACTTTCTAAGCACTCGGCATGATAAACATGGCCGCATATCAAAATGGCGACAACATCAAGCTCGTTAGTCGCCATAATTTTCTGGCTTCCCCAAGATTTATCCGATAAACGTCTGGAGCAAACACCACAGATTTGTGTAACGGAAGGAGAAGAAACTCGGCCTCCGAAGCTGAGAGGCTCGGAAAAACCACCGAAGCCGAGCTCGGAAAACCCGTCTGAAGATCCGCCATGAGATTGGGACGCGCTGTTTGATTCATTGCTCCACCCTGGGGAAAGATGATGCCGCCTTGATACAGTTGAGTTTGAGGGCGGCGGATGGCCGCCATGGGAGGAAGAGATAGGAGATATCGAAAAGGATGAAAGTAAATGCGGTGGCGGTGACATATTGGTTGGAGACGGTTCCAAATCTACGGGTGTTTCCGTTGACTCCATCACCTATACAACGCATAAGAGCACGGAAGATAAACTAGAAGGGAAATAGGAATGTACAATTTCCATAAAAGCCTCAATCATTCAACAATTCACCTCTCGCGGATTTCTAGCATTCAGCGGACCTGCAAGAACAAGTAGACGAACGTTATCTATGACACAATACCTTCGGCTAACGAATTGTGTGTCGAAGCCACTTAATTTCTCTTATACAAACAAAAAGATCGTATACTTCTGGATTGTAATGCCTCATAGACCAAAGTAGTAGACTAATCTCAAAATCAACTTAAAACTGCAGTAGAAGTTATTGATAGCCTACAACTTTGAGCTTATAAGAAGGACACAAATCTATTTTTTGATTCATGTGGATCGGTTGTTACAATGATGCTATGAAAATACACACTAAATGCAAATGATCAAGACCGAGCAGAAGGATGTTTTTTTGCAAGGGTGTGTCCCAGGTTCCTAGAATCAACCTGATAAACTCAGTGATCACAATTGTTGCGTATGAATCAAACCCTGGGGAGATGGTATATTCTGCCATATCTCGTGCAGAAGGATGTTTTCATGGTATAAAACTCCAAGGCATTGTTTGGCATTATTTTCTGGGTACACATGTGAATGCACATAAGCTAGCTCATAGAAAGGCTACTTGGAGTAACGGTTTGGTAACTTATTGTCACTTTTTCCAAAATCAATTATTATTTATTACTTTTAATTATAAATAAATATTTTAAATATCACTAAAATTAATAAATATAAATTGAAAATTAATTTTAATTTTAATCATGCATTATACATTAATATTATTTATTAATTATTTACAATAATTATTAATCA